GCGGCACAGGTTTAGAACCATTTATCTCGTTTTATTGTTTGATTGTTTAGCTGGGTTGTTGTTCGTTGTTTGAATTTGATTTTAGAATTGTTTTGTTTTCATGTAGAAGGAGGATATGCGTAGAGTAATGGATATGTTATCATTGAGGGAATACCATGCTCGGACCTTACTCATTCATTACCGATGGGATGTAGAGAATTTGTTTGCAGTACTTGTGGAGAAAGGGAGACATCATTTGTTTGCTACATCTGGTGTTACTATGATTGAGAATCAAAGTATTAGCTCCTCTGAGCCTTCTTCCATGGTGATGTGTGATATCTGCATGGAGGAAGTTCATGGCAATGATGCAACTAGAGTTGACTGTGGCCATTGCTTTTGTAATAACTGTAAGCATTTTTTTCCCTTTAAACTTAGACAAATATTTTTCAATGGCCTTGTGAACTGATATTGTAAAGATTGGCTGTGATTGTTGGTTGTGAGCAGAATTAAATTGTGCGTATAATTTACTAATAATTGGCGGAGCTTTATTGTTCGTTATGTCGTTGAAAACTTGAAACATTTGTTCTGAGATCAAATTTACTACACTTTTGTGTTTCAGGTTGGACTGAACATTTCATTGTGAAAATAAACGAGGGTCAAAGTCGGAGAATTAGATGCATGGCTCATAAATGTAACGCTATTTGCGATGAAGCTGTTGTTAGGAATCTAGTTAGTAAAAGGCATCCGGATCTTGCCAATAAATTTGATCGTTTTCTTCTTGAATCGTACATTGAGGATAACAAGAGAGTCAAATGGTGTCCGAGTACCCCTCACTGTGGTAACGCTATACGCGTGGAGGATGATGAGTTTTGTGAAGTAGAATGTTCGTGCGGTCTTCAATTTTGTTTCAGTTGCTTATCAGAGGCTCACTCACCATGTTCATGTTTGATGTGGGAACTTTGGATTAAGAAATGTCGAGATGAATCCGAAACAGTTAACTGGATGACAGTACATACAAAACCCTGTCCAAAGTGCCACAAACCCGTCGAGAAGAATGGTGGCTGTAACCTTGTCAGTTGCATCTGTGGACAAGCATTTTGGTATGTTCTTACTATTTTTGTAATCATTTTCTTTGTTATGGTTTTTTTTCGATAAATTTATAGCCTGGACGGAAGCGTTCTGTTCAAAATTACTTAAATACAAGACCTGAAAACGAACTTTCTGATAGCGATATCTCTTTCGTATATTGCCAGACATCGAGGCAGATAGCTCACTGTCATATATTGTTGAAACTGAAGCTAAATTCTTCTCTTGAAAGCATACGGGGTTTTAGCTGTCTTGAATAAATAGTTTTCTGCATTTCATTTGGAGTGAAAATGTTCTGATTAATCTAGCCATTTGATGCTCTTTCTGTCTCTTTCTGAGAACAGTTTTCTTCTTTGTTATTTTCTTTGAATTACGAGTCGTTGACACTCGAAATAATTCACCACTTTTGGGGGTCTCAAAATACTTAGTATGCTCGATAATCCTTGTCTGGAAAAAAGAACAACAACAACATTTCTTTTTATTATTTTTTCATTTTGACTTTGTTGGCTTTTGCTAATTTATTATCAAGAAAAATTGTCTTTTCTTGTATACGTATATTGGATGGTTTCGACGTACATCTGAGTCATTTGGAATGAAATCTATGGAGGATTGTTGTTAGTTAATCAGTTAGTAATATCTAATCCATCTCTTATACTTAAAACTTCACTTAATCTTTTGTTGACATTCAACTGAACAAGTTCAATACATTGTGCTTAATCATTTTAAGCTTATGTTAGTTATAGATTCTGTAAAAATACGTTTCTCCATAATCTGTTCTAAGGAAATAAAGGTAGTGATGTGTGAAGTGTGAAAGATGGGTATTGTTTCCTTTAACGTACCAAATAATAACTTAAACTCTTTCTAATTTGAACTAAGTTCATAAAAATCAAGCGTTTAGTGCTTAGTACTTAAGTTTCTGATAGTAGAACTCTGTTTCTTTTTCTAGTTGTTATTCTTTACAATATATTTTGTTTACACTGTTTGTTTTTGTTCTAGCTATTTGTTCTTCTGGCCATGTTTTTCATTTTATCAAGTGTGTCTAAGTTTCTACTTCCCATCCTTCTGGTACAGTTGGCTGTGTGGTGGAGCTACCGGTCGAGAACACACTTGGTCGAGTATTTCTGGTCACAGTTGTGGGCGTTACAAAGAAGAATCAGCACAAAAAGCCGAGAGAGCAAAACGGGATTTGTATCGCTATATGCACTATCATAATCGATACAAAGCTCATACAGATTCTTGTAAGCTGGAAAGCAAATTGAAGGAATCCATACAAGAGAAGATTTCGATATCTGAAGAGAGGGAATCCATGCTGAGAGATTTTAGTTGGGTAAACAATGGACTTCATAGGCTTTTCAGATCAAGGCGGGTTTTATCATATTCTTACCCATTTGCATTCTATATGTTCGGGGACGAGCTATTCAAAGACGAGATGACCGAGGAGGAAAGGGAAATAAAGCAACATCTATTTGAGGACCAACAACAACAACTTGAGGCAAATGTTGAGAAGCTCTCCAAGTTCTTAGAGGAACCGTTTGATCAATACGCCAAAGATAAGGTAATGGAGATAAGGATGCAAGTCATCAATCTGTCCGTTATCACCGATACCCTTTGCAAGAAGATGTAAGCGTACTCGAACAATCTGTTAATTCTGTTCTTCTAAACGTGCGTTAAGCTCTTGGAACTCATGTACTAATCTCATGCAGGTATGACTGCATTGAAAATGATCTTCTGGGTTCTCTTGAACTGGGTATACACAACATCGCTCCATACAAGTCGAAAGGAATCGAGAAAGCACTGGAACTTTCGGCTTGTTGGAACAGCAAAACGAATACTACTATTGATAAATATCTTCCATCAGACTGTAGTACAAGTGGTAATGTAGAGAGTACTTTTCTACACTTATTGTAAATCTGCATTCATTACCTACAACTCTAAATCAAGATCGTTGCACATTGCTTGATGTATATGCTTTATAGTTTTACTGATGGTACAAATGCAGGAGGATTGTCGGAACGCGATCGTTTGTCTGGATTGAATTCCGACGAGAACGGATGCTCTTCTAGGAAGCGTGCCAGAGCAGACGTTGTTACTGGTAACTTTTTTGATCTAAACTTGCCTGCTGAGGTGGTTGACAGAAACTAAACTAATATCTGGAAGTTGCGTGGTTATAAAGTACAGTTGTACAGATCTGACATAAAACAATAGCTTCGTTAGCATGGGACCAGGTAATCGTAGGTGTTCTTTTAATTCTTCACTCGTTGTTCACCATCTTTTATTATCTTATCTTCGGCTGAGCTATAGTTTGAAAGAGAATCTGCGATGTTCTTCACTTCACTCACGTTCCTTATTTCCATTTTGCTTTAGAAGAATCCGCAAATTGTACATAGCTGTGATATCGAGCTTTGATGGTATTTGGAATGTAAATGCTAGCTGAACTCTCAGCCTGAGATAGACAGAGGGTATTTATTATATGCATTTTGAGGTAGTCTGATATTTCTCTCTCGCTGTGTTTATTTTGATGTTTCTAAAGCTGTTCCTCCTGTCTGCCATGAACTGATTTGATTGTTAATTCCTAGGCTGTCTGGTGAACCTGTGTTTGTGTGGATGTTGCTTTAGGCCAACTCCACTTTCATTATGAATTAGATTAGCATTATTTACAGATAATGTGTGGTTCATCAACATTAAAGAATTGTTTGTGAACAAATGGAATATTGTGTAACCTCGTTATTGGTGTTACATCATTGGTCCATTAATTCAACTAATCATTGAGGTAACACAAAGGCTGAATTGATGCTTCTCTATAGTCCTTAATTCTTCTGTCTTTACATCCAGCTTGGTTTTTGAGAATATGTTGGTCTAGACATTTGTTGCGATTGATGCTTCTCTCTAGTCCGATAATGCTTCCTTGTCTTTACATCTAGCTCGATACTCCTTTGAGTCATATGTTGGTCTAGACATTTCTTGTGAAGCCACTATGAGGTCTACGTTGATTAGTGAGGGGAACAAAATATTTCTTACAAGGGTGTGGAAATCTCTCCCTAATAGATGCGTTTTAAAATCATGAGGCTGATGGCGATACGAAACGAGCCAAAACAGACAATATTTGCTAGCGGTGAATTTGGGCTGTTACAAATAATATCAGAGCCAGACATCGGGTGTTGTGCCAGTGAGGACGCTGGCCCCTAAGGGTGGTGGATTGTGAGATCTCACATCAATTGAAAAGGGGGAACAAAACATTTCTTATAAGGGTGTGAAAACCTCTGGCTAGACGTGTTTCAAAATTGTGAGGCTGACTTGATGTGTAATGGGTTAAAGCAGACAATATCGGCTAGCGGTGAGTTTAGTCTGTTAGAACACCCTTTTGACATGAGAAGACAGGAAGATGCTAAAAATTACACGTGTGCTCACTCCTTGAAGCACTTCTTCGGTGCAAACAATCCATTTTCATGGGCTCTTTTTCAATCAACTCCTATTTAATGCTGAAAGTGAGTCCATTTCAATCTTATTAATTTATTTTATCAAATTAAATTTGAAATTAATATCACTTAAAAACTATATTCTTTTTCACAAGTCAAAATTTACTATCAAAACCAATGATCAGCTAGATTCGAAAATTCGAACATCTGAGTTTTAGAACATGAATATAATATCAAGTTTTAGAACATGAATATAATATCATAACTAGTTGAACTATGTTCAAGTTGACGGTTCATACTTGTTTACTCGTTATAAATTTTTAAAAGGGATGAAAACTTGTTAATGTAATTGCTAAGATTCCATTTTATTTTGGGTAGAAACAAAGTTTGTATTGTTTGAAATTTCAGTTTCAGGAAGAAAGGTGGGTCTTCTGAGCCAATCAGTATATCTACAGACAGAGCACCAGAATCACTTATAATCTTCCAATTTTTCCACCATAAACTACTTCTATTGGCGCCTTCTGATTCAAAGTCTTGTTCTTTTCAAAACCCCACTTCCCATTTCCCCTAATTTCCCTCAAAAACCCTAGCCGGAGCCACCCACCAGCGCCCATGGAAGAAGACGGCATAGACATGGTTCTTGGCAGAGCCACAGAGCTCCGGTTGAAGATCAGCAACTGCATTCACAAGGCTACAACCATCGCCTCTCTCCTGCAAGACCCATCTGCCGGAGGGGGAAATGAGGCTGCCAATGACGGTGGTTCCACCTCCGAATGTCCTGCCGCCGTCACGGAGGACGACGAAGAAGTGGAACGGCTTTTGAATATCTGCGATGCCCTTGAATCCTTGGAGACCCAACTCTCTTCTTTGCAGGTTTTCCCGCGTTCGCTCTTTTTTTTTTCTCACATTTCTTGATTTGATGGTCTGTGACTCTGTTCTGCTTTTGATTTTGAATTGATTTGATTGTATCATATGGCAATTGTTCTGATCTGGGTTTTGTTGTTCTTTTGTTCATTTCCCCATATTTTGGAGCTAAGAAGTTCTTGAATGATCTTCGTTGTTCTTGTGGTAGAAAGAAAGTGAATTGAAACTTTGAAACTACTTATTGAATTGCTTTGTTGTTTGTGTTCTGTCAAATCAGACCTTGTTCCTTGCTTTGGTATATTGTTTGTGAATGCAGAAGAAACTGATATCATAAGAAATGGTTTTCAAACATGATTTCTTGCTTTTTCTGAAAGGTTTTCCTCTTCTAGCAAACAAGTTTGGCCTTTGGGATTGTAATGCTAAATCATATTCTCGCTCTCTGTATCCTTCTCTTTATCTGTCTTGTCTCTCTTGTCACTTTGGTCAGGGACTACGAGAGATCTCACATCGGTTGAGGAGGAGAACGAAACATTCTTTATAAGGGTGTGGAAACCTCTCTCTAGCAGACGTTTTTTAAAAATCTTGAGGGGAAACCCGAAAAGGAAAGTCCAAAGAGGACAATATCTGCTAGAGGTGGGCTTGGGGCGTTACAAATGGTATTAGAGCTAGACACCAGGTGATGTGAGTGAGGAGGTTGAGCCCCGAAAGGGGTGGACACGAGGCGGTGTGCTAGCAAGGACACTGGGCCTTGAAGGGGGTGGATTGGTGAGGGTCCCACATTGATTGGAGAAAGGAACGAGTACTAGCGAGGATGTTGGCCCCAAAGAGGGGTGAGTTGTGAGGTTTCACCTTGGTTGGGGAGGAGAATGAAGCATTCTTTATAAGGGTGTGGAAACCTCTGCCTAGTAGATGCGTTTTGAAAACCTTGGGGGAAAGCCCAAAGAGGACAACATCTGCTAGCGGTGGGCTTAGGCCGTTACAAATGGTATTAGAGCTAGACATCGAGCGATGTGCCTGTGAGGAGGTTGAGCCCTGAAGGGGGTGGACATGAGACAGTGTGCCAGTAAGGACGCTGGGCTCCGAAGGAGGTGGATTTGGGGAGGGGGTCCCACATCGATTGGAGAAAGGAAGGAGTGCTAGCGAGAACGTTGGCTCCAAAAGAGGTGGATTGTGAGATTCCACGTCGGTTGGGGAGGAGAACGAAGCATTCTTTATAATGGTGTGGAAACCTTTCCCTAACAAACGTATTTTAAAAACCTTGAGGGGAACTCCAAAAGGGAAAGCTCAGAAGGACAAGATCTACTAGCGGTAGGTTTGGGCCGTTACAGACTATGGATGGCTCCAGAGCAGTCCATAGTCATAGCACCAATCTATTCTTGCTTTCTTGATCTCACAGATGTGCGGGTAACCCGAGCAGATATCTCAGTTCGAAATTTGAGTTATATCAGAATAATCCATAGATTTTTGTTCTGTTTCATTACTAGAACGTTAATTGAACTCTGGGATAATGTAGTCTTTGTTGAATATATTTGCATTCCTAGTTATGTAACTATATGATCCAGACAATTGGTCCAGTGCTAATTGATATTGCTACTCTTGTCATATCAAGGTATTGCAACAACAACAACGATACGAACGGGAAGCTGCTCTGAGTGAGATCGAACACAGCCGCACGATGCTACTCGACAAGCTCAAGAACTACAAAGGTGAGCATTTGGAGGTGATAAACGAAGCTTCGGCCTTTGCTGGCGAGGCAGTAGAGCACAACCATGATCTCATGCTTCCTCCATATCCAACCCGTCCGCCCTACGCTCTTCACCTAAACAATGGCCAATTACCACCATCCTTGTCCGCTCGCAAATCTGCCCGCAATGGGGTAACCTTGAACTACACGACGAACGATGCTAAAAGGGAGTCAAGCGAGTCGTTGACTACCAGCAAACAAGCGAGCACGAGAAGCTCGACGAACGGATTAGGTTCACTCATAGCTGCTGCAGCCAAGGCAGTGTTTACCATTGTTGGTGTTGTGTCAATATTGAGCATGTCTGGCTTTGGACAACGAATCGCAGCGAAGAGAGTTAGTCGTTCGAAGATCTCCAATGGGTTTGTTGAACAGCCATCGACCAAAGAAGAGAGACCGATAATTCGATGCCCGCCTGGGAAAATTCTCACGGTGGAAGACGGGGAGGCGCGGTGCGTGGTGAAAGAGAGAGTCGAAGTTCCATTTTCCTCCGCCGTGGCCAAACCAGATGTGAACTATGGATGTGGTTAATGCATCACTTGCCAATGCTTCTTTCTTCCACATCCAAAGGTAACACTTCATTCCATCTTCAATATGTAAAGTTTAACACATTTTTATGTTCTAAAAATATATATAAGTATATATTAGGTTTTAATTTTTTTTAGTTTAATGCATCCCATCTTAAAATCTACATTTTGGTCTAATTTGAACGACAATTTTCAAAGAGGATAATATCTGCTAGCGGTGGATCTGGGTTGTTACAAATGGTATCAGAGCCAGACACCGGACGATGTGCCAGCCTTCTCGCTGTTCCCCAAAGGGGGGTAGACACGAGGCGGTGTGCCAGTAAGGACGTTGGCCCCAAAGGGGGGTGAATTTTGGGGTGGTCCTACATTGATTGGAGGAAGGAAAGAGTGTCAGCGAGGACGCTAGGCCCTGAAGAGGAGTGGATTGTGATGTCCCACATTGGTTGGGAAGAAGAACAAACCACCATTTATAAGGGTGTGGAAACCTTCCCTTAGCATACGCGTTTTAAAGCCTTGAGGGGAAGCCCGAAAAGGAAAGCCCAAAGCGGACAATATCTGTTAGCGGTGGATTTGGGTTGTTACATTATGAGTCGCGTTCTTTCTTCTCCGTACCTCAATATGAGTTCATTCTTGGAGAGGTCCAATAAGATCTGTTCCTATTATGCAAATGGTTGAAGACTCGTAACTTTGACTCATAACTTTGGTCGGAGGCTATGCTAGTTACCTTGGTGTTACGATAAATTGATGGCATCAATCACATAACCTATTAACCTAGTGAACTTTTGCATATTCTTGACCATGGTTGATTAGTAGTAATTTGACTCGTTAATTTGTTTATTAGAGATTTGTCTCTTGAGTGGTTACCATATACTCTCTTGTAGATTTCTCGGATGATGTAGTTAGCCTCATTGAGAGTAAGGAGTAACAGATGATGTAGTCAGCCTCATTGAGAGTAAGGCGTAACATCTCTGGTATAATCGCCCACCTTCCTTCAAACCCAGAGACTTGGGCTTTTAACCTTCTCAACCAAAGCGGGGTTGAACTTACTACCCTCGACAGACCCTTATGAGTCAACCTCGTGATTCTAAGCTGACTCATAAGGACAGTGTTGCAGTGATCAAAGCTATAATTCTACGTAATTGTAGAGAACTCAAACGAGAAAACGGTATGATAATACAACATGATAATAGTGCTACAATTGTTATTGATCAAGAAGGAAATCCAAAAGAAACTCAATTTTTGGTGCAATTACCCGAGAATTGAGACAACTAAAGACGACACCATAAGATAGTTATAGACTAGTAGATTATAGAAATTAAATTTCTATTTAATCAAACATTCAAACCACTCATTAAAACAAAGTTGACTTTTATATTATCCTATTTCTTTTCTAGCTTGCACGTTGACAACCATCCTAGATCGATTCTGTGGTCGGATTGAAACCATTATTTGAATAATCGTCGATGTTTTCAATAACAAAATAAATGAATTACCGAACAAGATCCAAATAAATAAATAAATAATTGCCCAACTCAAGGCCAAAACTATTTTTTAATTATTAGAAGAAAAAAAAAAAAACCCCAAGTGATTGAAATTAATTTTTACCACAAGAATTTGTAAGTTCAAAAAGTTATCCCAAAAACCAATGAAAAACCAGCAAATTTGGCTGTTTTTCAAGACAGCCCCCTGTTTTGTTCCATGTCCTGTTCTTGCCTTGTGGATTATCTCTGTATTTTACCCAAAGAAGCAAAAAGCAGGCTGCCATGGCTTTTCATTACAATGAAGAGGTAAGAGCACAAAACAGAACACTTTATTGGTTCACTGCATAAATAGGATCCTCCAATATGAGTTCCCCAAGCAAAAACAACATAATCATGGGCACTTTCGGAGAATCCAAGGTTTTCACTGAACACCAAGAAGCTCTTGTGCTCAAGTCATGGAGTGTCATGAAAAAGAATGCTCCTGAATTGGCCCTCAAATTCTTCCTCAAGTAAGCTACTCCCGACCCGAACATCGTCAATTCAAAGGTTCGTATTCGTGATTTGAAACTAACCCTTTTCTTGTTTTGGTGGATTGTATTTAGGATATTTGAAATCGCTCCGTCCGCTCAAAAGATATTTCCTTTTTTGAGAGACGCTAAAGTCCCCCTCGAGCAAAACCCTAAGCTGAAACCTCATGCTTTGAGTGTCTTTACTTTGGTAAGTAAATTAGGGACGGGCCCTATCACAAAAATATTCTTTTAGTGGGACGATAGCTCTGAAAAGACAGATTGTCCATCTTTTCTTTAATCTTAGGAGAAATACGATCGGGGTCGGGTAAAATAAGAACCGCCCCTACATTCAAACTGCCCCTTTTCCCATTCGCAAGAACTTAGATGCAAGTTTTTGTGGGATGTTTTTTTTAATGTCTTTTACCTTATGAATTTGGTTTGAGTCTTGTAGACTTGTGAGTCAGCGGTTCAGCTTCGGAAAGGTGGCATAGCAGCGGCTAGAGAAACCACTATCAAGAGGCTCGGTGCCAGTCACTTCAAATATGGTGTCGTCGACGAACATTTCGATGTATCTACATTCTATTTTGATCGTATAATTTGAACTTTACCTTCATCCCGATCAAACTATGACCTAATAATGAACGTTTTTTTGTTCATAGGTGACAAGATTTGCACTTTTGGAGACAATAAAGGAAGGAATTCCAGAGATGTGGAGTGCGGAGATGAGAGGGGCATGGGCTGACGCTTATGATCAGTTGGTGGCCGCCATTAAAGCTGAGATGAAGCCTTCTTCCACCTCTTAATATATATATATATATATATATATATTTCTTTTTTTAAATTCTGTGTGACAAGGACGTTTTTTATGCTTAATTTTCAGAGTGGTTGAATAAATGTATGGCTTTTTCATCAAGAAAAGTATTGTTTTTTTCTTTTTTAATTTAAAATTTCATTGTTTATAAATAAATTAATTAATTAATGTCAAATTGCGATTTTTATAATATTTTTTTTAGATTAATTAAAATCTGTATTAGCTCAAACACACAGTTAATCAGTTTTGGCTTGTAGTTTCTTAATCAGTTTTGGCTCGTAGTTTCTAACCTTTATTAAAAAAAGGGTTTTATTTCCCTCTTCAATAAATGAGAGATATTCAATTCATAAACGATGTGGGATCTCACAATTCATCTCTTTCAAAGCCTAGCGTCCTCGCCGACACTCGTTTCCCTCTCGAAACGATGTAGGATCTCGTAATCCACCTCCCTTCAGAGTTTGGCATCCTTGTTGGCATACTTCACGGTTTTAAAACGCGTCTACTAAGGAGAAACTTTCATACCATTATAAAGAATGTTTCGTTCCTTCTCGAATCAATGTGTGATCTCACAATATCGACTAATCTACAGTTAAAATTGTATTTCTTGTCCACCACTAACATTTATCATCAACAAAAATGTTACATTTTCCAATCTTTTACTTTTATTAAAAATAAAAATTCAAATAAACAATTCCGAACCTACCGAACCCAAAAAGTTTATTGTTGAATTGGGTTAGGTACATTATTTAATAAAAGTTATTAGGGTTGAAAAAATTTATAACTCGAATAATTGAATTGAGCCTATAAGGTGTCATAACCCGACCCAACCCAATCTATGAACACCCTTATCAAAATAATCGAACTGTTTACTCATTATCGGGAGGTAAATCATATAACACTAAAATCTATGATATGTTATGGATCTAACATGATCACATCTCTCGTAAAATAAGATAGAAAGATCCAAACGTTGTTCTTTAGTGCACAAACAGACGTGATCAAAACATATAAGCATCGACATAGTCGAACATACCTATCTATTCCGAGTCTCATCTTGATCAAGTAGATATGTTTAAAAATTATATTATTTAAACATATAATATAAACTAAGATATTTAAACTATAAATATTATTTATTACCTCAGATAAAATAACATTAATGTATTATATGAATTATTAAAGGAAGATGTGATGGCGTAGTTCTTTTTATTTATGATTTGAAAATCCACACATGATTTTGTTTTATTTTTTTTAATTAATTTCTAAATAATATTTTCAAATATATATATTTGACTTTCAAAAATTAATTTTAGTATATTTATTGTCACAATTTATTTTAACTTTAAAAATATTTTAGTCATTCACATTTAAAATTTATTTTTTTAAAAAATAATATTTTAGTTCTTCAATTAAAGTCATTTCTTAACTTTTTTTTTAATTTAAGCTCGAAATCAACTATTTAAGAATAAAATATAATATTGCGACGAATTTAATTCTTTAAAAAAAATAGGTAATAAAATATTGTTTATATATTATATTTATTTATTTAATATAGGTTCAAAACCTAATGAAAAGACAAGACAACCTCGAATGGTTCATTGAACACAAATGAAAACTTTCATTTTTTAAATTAAATTAATTTAGATTTCTTTATTGGTGCTTATTAAAATGTCGTGTGTACGACAACATTGTCTTGCCTTTTTTGTCTTTCTATTTCTCATTCTTAACGTTCGACTCGCACTATTTTACTGCACATAATAAAAACTATATATTAAAATAAATAATTTTAAAAATATTATTCAAATAAAAAGTCCGAATTTTTAGTATTCCTTTTGTAGTTATTGATGAGAAAACTATATAAAACAATAATAATTATAAGATATCACATCAAAATGTCTCAAAATGTCTATTATTATTTTAGTCGACATAGGATAGCATGTTGGTGAGTTCGGTTCTTGTTTTATTTTTTTTTTATGTATTTAAAAAATATAAATATAATTTACTTTAAATTTGATAAATAGATTATATACATTAAATATTTAAAAAAATTAATGAATAAACTTAAAAATTATTCTTTTAAAATCATAAACATTAAATAAATGAAAATAGATACATTAAATGAAAAGAAATCTAAAATGGTAATTTAACATAATTAAAAAAAAAATTAAAAAATAAATATTTGAGTGTCATTGTTTCTTCTCCAATGCGTTCTCATCATTTACAGAACGAACTCAGTTTGAGCTTTCGCCATAGACGAATCTTTCCATTACAATGTCTGCACTATTCACCGTCAGCTTTCGTTCTTCTACCATCGCGGAAATCTCAATACTATGCCCCCGGGGCTCCGATTCGGTACCCGACGGAGGGCGGCGCCGCTTTCAAAGACGAATATGGCTTCTTGGAGTTTGCGAGGGCCACACTTGCTTTGGCGGCCAAAGAACACAGCTCCGTGAGGGAGATCGGCAGGTGCGCTTTAGCGAGTGGGATTAGAAAATAAATTTCTCCTAATTCGAGCTCTCTGTTGCTGGATATTTGGGGAATGATCGAATCGATCTTCATAGATTCTGAACTGCAGAGAAAGCAATTAGGGTTTTGATCAAGAATGTGGCCGGCCTTTACTGGATGCCTCAATTCTTGAAGCCTACCATCTGTATGGATAATTTTTGCTGTTGAAGGCCAGTTTGTGAGGCTGCTAGCACTCGAGTTCTGAGATGAGGCACAAACCCCCATTGTTTTAGTTAGATGGAAGAGGAGATGGGTACGTAGTGAATGATAACTTATATTTATATAGAAAGAAAACTGGGGGGAAAATAGCAGGGCATGTGAATCATGGGGCCATGATAGGACGGTATGAAAACGGCGGAAAATGCAGTGAATATGAGGCTTGATTATCCTTTTTGAGTTTCCTTGGTGCTACAATTTGATACCAAAACTGTGCAGAAGCTGGGCCACACTGACCATTTATCTCAGGGAGAAAGAGTGAGAGAAAGCAGGAGACCCCTTTCTCGACCAACCGACTGTTCAACGTGTCTCTCACTGTTTGACAATGACACCAATCGCTAACTTTTCTGTCCCAACAGAGTTATCTGATTGATCAACATGATTAACCTTTTGGATCCCAATATCATGATTTTGATAATGCTTATATACATGTGCTAATGGTTCAAAAGAAATAGCAACTCTTCCTGTGCTTTTTTTCTTGTGGGTATCTACCGTTCTTGGCCTTGAAATGGAGTGCTCTGCACAAAATAAGTTGTTTTTGTAACCATAATGTTTTCTTGATTGTTCTTGATTGGGAAGCCTTTTTGTTTTAGATCTCAGGTGGGGCGATCTCTACGCTGCCCCGAGGCTTCTTTTCGGTTGCTAACTGTCTCCAATCCGGAAGAAATGGGATAGTACTTATGGTTCATGGAATTGAATCATGTGGATCAATATTGGTGCCATGGAAGTGTAACGACCTAAGCCCACCACTAGCAAACATTGTTCTCTTTGGCCTTCCCTTTCGGACTTCTCCTCACGGAGAGGTTTTCACACCCTTATAAAGAATGTTTCGTTCCCGTCTCCAACCGATGTGGATCTTAGAATTCACCCTCTTTCGAGGCCGAACGTCCTCGCTAGCACTCATTCCTCTCTCTAATTGATATGAGATCTCACAAGAAGGGTAGCTGTCCTTTATCATGTTAGGTAATAGGATTAAGAAGATGGGTGAAAGGAGACTGAAAATAGTACCGACCAAATTACTTCTTGGACAGTAACAGAGAAGAAGGAGAAGGGCCTCTTGCTGTACTGAATTATACTATCCAGATTTTGTCTCATGAGGTATTGCTATCACATCTCTTCAGTATTCAAAAGAGTTCCATTAATACATGCATATAATAGAAAGTAATAATTGTAGAATGTTTGGAGATGTAAAGTTTACTTTTTAAAAAAAATTAGTGAAAGGATCAAAAGCACTTTTTATGTTTGATATCATAAAAGTTTTCAATAGTCTTTTGAAATAATGTAGGTTTGGAAAATGATATTGATCTTTGCAAGGTTGTTAGCTATAACTACAACAAGCATAAGCAATGAATTGCTACATCATGTAACAGCCCAAACCCACTCCTAGCAAATATTGTCTCTTTGGACTTTCCCTTTCGGGCTTCCCTTCAAGAGTTTTAAAGCGCATCTGCTAAGGAGAGGTTTCCACACCCTTATAAATAATATTTTGTTCTCTTCCCTAACTGAGGTGAGATATCACAATCCACCCCCTTCGGGGCCCAGCGTCTTCGCTGGCACTCGTTCCTTCTCCAATCGATGTGGGACCCCCTAATCCACTCCCTTTGGGGCTAGTGTCTTTGTTGGCACACCGCCTCGTGTCCACCCCCCTTTGGGGCTCAGCCTTCTCGCTGGCACATTGCTTATTGTCTGGCTCAGATACCATTTGTTATAACCCAAGCCCACCGCTAGCAAATATTGTCCTCTTTGGGCTTTCCATTTCAGGCTTCCCCTCAAGGTTTTTAAAGCTCGTCTACTCGGGAGGGTCTCCACAGTAATGTTTCGTTCTCCTCCCATACTTATGTGGGATATCACATTATGTGAGTAAACAGTCTCACTACTTTCCCCGTTAAATTTATACTTTATCTATGATTCTTCATATGTATATTTAGAATCCTGAAGAGTTATTATCCAATTTTTTTCTAAGTTTTTCTTCATGTTCTTCCATGTTTATCCATTTTCTTCTTCCTTGGGGAGGCTGGCGGTCCCCGGGTCTGCTTCAAAGACGGGATGTACTTGATGGCATTCTGTAACAATATAGATAATTGGTGTTAATGACAAGGAAAGGGAAAGTTCACTTTCTGGAAAAGGAAACTTTGCTGAAATTGTGAGGGAAGATGCAAATTTAGCCAGATGCTAAAAATGGATTAATGGGGTTGGAGTTTCTTAATGTTTTATGGTCTGTGTTGATCAGGTAGAGCAGATTTTGGAGCAACTTTTACGAAGTTTGGACCAAAATGGCGTGCGTGCTTCATTCATCCTCTTCCAGGAAAAATCTCGAACCATTCTGTATAGGCAAGTTCAAGATACATCCAATTTACAGGTAGACTTGTGGCCCTCCTCCTTTGTATATATGAAGTATGCCCAAACTCTTTTTTCTTCCTTTCTTTTTCAATATGCCCTTTTCATACGTTTCTTTCACGCTAGGAGAACCCTTTTCTATATTTGACACTATTGTCGTTTCTTTGTGAATGCATCTCTGTTCTGGAATATTGCCTTTTCTTTCTCTTCTATCTCGTCCAAGCCATAAAGCATGTTTTTATTTCATATAAACCAACCCCATTAAGGTCCCATTCTGAAAGTGGAAGTGTGTAGCTTTTCCCTTGAGAACTTGAGGATGGCCCATAATCAGAACTGTTCTCCAAGCCTGGGTATGTCTTATAACTTGAATATAATATGGTTCAACGTATTAAAACATATACTCTCGACCATAGGTTCGAATCAAACGTGTTGAATCCAAAAACAATAATGCAAGACTGATACTATCGATGTATGGTTCTAAATTTGTATTAATTTGATTAGGGATAAAGTTTGAAGGAAAGGTCTGATAAGATGAATGATGAGGCCATGTTTATGTACATGTTGGTATATACAAGTTTACTCTCTTTCTGTATGCATATGGTTGCCAATTTTGGAAATGTTTTCGAGCTTGACATTGATGGATGACTAATGAACCAGAACTTAGAAACATAAAAGGGAATCACATATTTCAGTAGTAGGCATAATCAAAATGTTATAGTTTTTGAAGACAGACTTCTTGGATGTATGGATATTCAGCCTCGTGATCTTGTAACAATTGTTGTTTTTTTTTGCATCGCGAAAGAGATTGGTATCGACTATAATTTGCATGTTGCTTGATTTAATTTTGTGTGATCATATTCTAAATATCATCCGATTAATTTGTTTATGACTCATACTTGAGATGAATGTAATAGCCCAAGCTCACCGCTAGCAGATATTGTTTTCTTTGGATTTTTTCTTCCAAGCTTCCCTACAAGGTTTTAAAATGTGTCTACTAGGGAGAGGTTTCCACACCCTTATAAAGAATGCTTCGTTCCCCCTCCAACCGATGTGGGATCTCACAATCCACCCCCCTTCGGGGCTCAGTGTCCTCTTTGGCACACCGCCCGCTGTCCACCCCCTTCGGTGCTCAGCGTCCTCGGTGGCACACTGCCCATTGTCCACTCCCCTTCTGGGCTCTGCGTCCTTGCTAACACACTGCCCGGTGTCTGACTCTGATACCATTTGTAACGGCTCAAGCCCACCGCTAGCAGATATTGTCCTCTTTAGGATTTCCCTTCCGGACTCCCTGTCAAGGTTTTAAAATGTATCTGCTGGGGAGAGGTTTCTGCACCCTTATAAAGAATATTTCGTTCCACTCATCAATCGATGTGGTATCTCATAGTATTATACGCACAGAAACTTCTTTGATACATGAGAGGTTCAGGACTAAAGATGGATGGAGAATCCGTAGGCTTTATTGTGTTTCTTTACTTTTCTTTCCTCTTTTTTGGGGGACTTTTTAGATAATATTACGTGAACTCAAAGGAAATTCAAGAAAATCACTATTTCTTTTTCCTTTTGGCCAGAGAAATTGTTTATTAACGAGTTAGGCTCTTGGATTTTTGGCTACAACTAAATGATATCATGAGATTCATGATGATCTGATATCCTACAAACAAGTCCATACTGAAGGAACCTGATTCTAATCCTAATCCTAACTTACTTGATATCATTGTTCATCAAGCTGCTGATATTAGGGCCACAATAACCCCAGCAATCAGAGCTGTTGGGTCACCGAGCAGTGCAGATATAACAGATTGGACAGCCATACCAGCCATATCACAGCACCTTTTCATCTTCCCCTTGCCCTTGTTGTGATGAGTCTGAAGAGTATTGTTAAGACTAGGAATTCTCATCTCTCCAATTTGGTCCCTTTCCCACGTCCAAAATACAATTCATGCCAGCTCTCTACAAGCATATCTTTCACACAAGCTACACGTAGATTATACTTCTTACAGGAAGACCTGTAACTCCAGCTTCCTCCCTTCCGCCCGCACCTATGACACGATGCACTCACTTTCTTATAAAGGTAGAGCTTGATTGCACCGTCGCTCAGTGCCATTGGTAGCTTGGCACAACATGGATGAAGGTCGAAACCACATAATTTGCAGTGGTAAATGAAGCCAGTGACATCCTTCCCACAGGCATTGCAGAATCGGGGAGTGTCGCCAGGCGGGTGAGACATGAACTGAAAGGAGCACTTGGTATAAAAAGGTGTGAGATAGAGGGGAAAGGGATCGCACAATGCACGTGAAGGTCGAAGTTGCAGACCGTACATTTATAGCGAGAGCCTATACCAACCTCCTTGCAACCGTTACACATGAATGGAGACTCCGAGTACTCAAACTTGAGCTTGTGTTGTGGATGGCTGAAGTGAGAAATCTCATTATACTTCATCTTCCAATTTGGCTTCTGCTCGAGTAAAACAACAGGAATTGTATCGTATATATACTGAAGAAAAAGCTTCAAGGTAACTGTCTCTGACTCATTTTCATACATATTTCAGTCCAACCAACTAATTTTGAGAGCAAAGATTGGGTTATAGGATTGAACAAGAGTGGTTTAGAGTATTATTGGGGCTGGGTTTGGCTTGAAAATGAAGCAAAAGGTGGGGAATTATTATATGCTTTGAGAAGGTGGGTGGTAAATTATAAGCATTGAAAGGGAATTAGTCCCAAATGTGAAGAAGGCACCAGTTTTGATACCCACAAAGCATATTTGTTCATACCCATCAAAGGAATTTGTAGATTTTGATATATTTATTCTGTCTGTGATGCAATCATGTCCAGAATTTGAGATGGAATTCGATGAAATATGAGCATTTCAGCTTTTTTGAGAGACTTGATTATGGCTATGCCTTTGTTAAGTTGGAAGAATATTAGGCAATTTGGAAGATTTGAATAATGCAAAGACATTAGCCCTGGTTTATACCTTAATATTAAACATTTGGTTAGTTTAATATCAATGAATAGACTTCAACAACTTATGGAGATGGGGAGTTTTGAAATTCCGACTTCTTAGTTATTAATATATGTTTTAATCAGTTGAATCATGCTCAGGTTGATGTTTGTTTAAACTCAATTCGGTTGGTAAGATCAAGTGGACCAATACATATACCAAATGCTCTGTAGGAAAGTTGACTTCTAAGTCTGTAATCTGGGGTTTGCTTCGAGAAATATCCTTTCTCTCTTGTCCATTTAGGGGGTGCAGATACACCTGCGTTGATTACAGGTGACGGTTACAAGAATGGTGGGGAAGTGAAGAATACCTGATGACATTTAGGGATGGATGTAGACCCATCGGACAGGAGAAATTATTGGAATTCTATAAAAAGTCTCGGGAGCTAGGAGACATGCCAGTTTTATACGACGAGGTGGAGTGGCACAAGATATGTAAGGTTGGTCTAGTAATTAGGGGTTGGTTTGAGATTGATTGAAAAGGTAGCCCAACCGCCCCTCCCCCTAGCCGCCTACCTACTCGTGCTCGCAGCTCAATCAGAGGTCGACGAGTGTGGTCCGACATAAAAACATAAGTCGTCCGCCTCGACGTGATACGTGGATTGCTTAGTAGTGCTTCGTCACTACTATAGTTGGCTTGACCCCTTGATATGTCCATGACGTCTAAGAACTGTGCTAAGCAATTCAGGCTTAAGTCAATCCTCATGTCTTGTATCATACAAAATCCAAGAATCTTATGTAAACAAGTCGACATTGCGACACTCTCTAAATGAGACAAGGATCATCTCTCTAGTATAATGAATGTTTTTCTTAATGTTGCATCTTTGTGCACTTTTTATACCTCTCCACCTTACCAAATTGATCACTCACCTCTAATTTAAGCATCAAAGTATATCTGGAATTGCTACACTAACAAACTATTTGGGCAACTCGCGACCTCTACAATTTACCTGATGTCAGACAATCAAATTCATTTTTGAGTATAACGTATTTTTAAAAGTAGCATAACTTAAATTAAACTGATCTTCCTTGTGCCCCACCTAACACTTTAGAACAACATCTTAGAAACATAATTGAACTTGAAAATTTTAAGGAGATCCAAATGGATAAGCTCGAATATTGAAGCTTTAGTCTATTATGCTAGTTAACATTATCGTCAAATAACATTGTTATACCTCCAAAATTGGTTTGGTATTTTAGAGGAAGAATCAATTCCAAATTTGACATAAAGATCAAAGGTGGGGCTGAAGATAGATTAAATTACAAATTTGGTCTTTTTGGTCGAGAAAAAGTTGAAATCTAGCTTTCATAGTTTTAAAGATTATAATTAGCGAATCCCTGTAGGTTAATAGTACAGGTATTCATATCATTTAGGAATCCCGTCTACCTACACTACCCAATTGAGTTGGGATAGTTTTTTTTTTTTTTTTTTTTTTTTTTTTT